CCCACTTCGCCCTACCCCTGTCGCAGCTGACCAATCAGGTCCAGACTGTTGACAACCCCTTAAGAGCCGCACGCGTCATGGAGTATCACTTGCACTTGTCATTGGTTTCCGAGGGTGGCTTGTCATCTATCGTAGTTTGGGCGAGTTGCTCGCGCGGGAGCAAATCTCCCGTGGTCATTTTTTCTGTTTAAGGGGTTCATAGTACTCGTAGATTGGGCGGGAGGGGTTATTACTGGCCGGACTTTGATTCATTCTCTTTGCTTGGATGAAATTCGATCATGGTCGGGAGAGCCAGCCTTTTGCTTTTGCTTTTGCTTTTGCTTTTGGGGGCTTGAACGCCGGTGTAAGTTATATGACAGCTGTCAGGGTAATAGTGGCAGTTGTGAATAGGGAATCACCAACACCATCCGTAACGTGATTTTATATTACTAGCACTACTTCTACCGCTACAATATTGTCAGAGCCCCTCGGGGTCTAATATATCGGCTTCGGTTCTTTCGGTTTTAGTCTTTCACGGCTGCTGCCATCTTGGGGGTTGTGGGAAGATAAATATTTGTTCCAAGTCGTACCGGATAGGTAGGATGTGGGAAGAATAAATACCCCGAGAGTTATTAATGAAAAATGAAGAATGGTCAATTCTAACCAAGTGAATAAAAACTCATGATGTCTCGCTTACTTGCTCCTCTCTTCAATCCCAAGGGCAAACTTCATTCCTTTATATTCTTGAGCTGCTGGGGACGCGTAGCAGTTTAGATTTCACCATCGTCTACGATATTGTTCATGATTGCCTGGGAAGTATAATACCACGAACACCATGACATCCCCAACAATACTGTGCAACACCGTACAACACACACAGACGTGTCCGCTAATTGCCAAAGTAGAGAAACCTGCTCCGTACAATACATTCATCATACCTTACTCATGTCCATAGATTGAGGACCCACCAAGACAGAATCATACTACACTCATGCTGGTGATACAAATACAGTACCACCATCGATATCAAGAACCTAACGTCCTTACACCCCTGACGAGATTGCACCCCTGTCGAGATTCCTGGCTAACAAATCGCTGATCGCTCTGGGGGTTGCCTTTAGAAGAAAGGAATCTTGACAGGGGTGCAATCTCGTGAGGGGTGTAAGGATGTTATCACTTTCTATAAAATTTTTCACTTCATGAGCAATGCTGATGCCGACTACAGTATCCGTCTCTCGTTCTCACCACCCCAGTCACAGATCCAATATGCAACCCGGCAGCGACTGGTACAAATTTGCCGCCACCACGTCAGGTATGTGAGTTGCTCAAGTTTTTGCTGATAACATTGTGGGTCGTGAGCTGCGAAGGTATTCTGATCTGGGATAATCAAACCGATAGCATCGCAGCAATCGCCGAACCCATGAGACGGTATGCCGGTTTGTATTAACAGCTTAGCGGAACCTTGTCAGGTGCTCCGATTTAGCGTTCTGGTATTCAGGGACACTACCTGTATAGGATGATAGTCTAATAGTAGTCGATCTTTCAGGGACTTTAACGTGTGTTGGCTGGAGCTGTCCTTTGTGGAAAGTGTACCTATGAAGACTTTTCGAGAAGACGGCAGGGCAGTTAGACCCCAGAAGGGATGAGGGAATTGATTGAACTTTCTCACTGCATTGTTGATCAATTGCATCAAAGACATTCGGGATATGTAGAGGCTCATCTTGAGTAATTGAAACCCAAAATTTGCCTGTCGAAGTAGAAACAGTAGTTTGAGATACGGTATTGATCTCAAAAATTCAAGCTTTTCCAAGACGCTTGGATCAATGCTTCTTCCAACCTCCTGCGCTGTGGCTTTAGCGATGGCTACTGTGGTTGGATCGCTTGGGATAATCGTGCCAAGGTTGCGGCGTGTGGCCGCAACCCCCGCATGTTCGCTGGCTCACAACCGGGGGCACTCCTTCAGAGTGCCTGACAGCTCAACGTAACTTTGTGGCTCAACACAACTTTGTGGCTCAACATCACTTTGTGGCTAGTTTCTGTTAAGGCAAATTTAATCAGAGTTTATAATGTATGATAATGTTTCAATTAATCTAGATTAAATTCTGTTAACATGAATCATAAACTGAGATCTTTAAGTTAATGTCTTATAATAAAGAAAAATTTGCAGAATAAGCTCTGAGTCCTGTTATCATCAACCCCCCACACCAGAGATATCAATTATGCCACAAGCACCACCTTTTATTCTTCCAAGCCAGCGAGTGGAGCCATATGCAGATGTCGAAGTTTGTATTCAGGCTGCCCTTGAATCAATACAGTTGACCCAAGAGGAGTATCCCAATGTTGCTGCCATTGCTCACACATATGAAATACTGGTATTGCATCTCCAGAGATAAGTACAAGGTCAACAGTCACATCAATTGAGGCCTGGAGCAAACCATAAATTGTCTGAAGACCAGGAGCTAGCTGTTTGCTAGTACCTAGACTAACTTGATTCTGTGGGCACCAGTGCCTGCCTACCAATGCTGAATGGCTGTGCAAATGCAATTCTGCAATATACTCATATAGGTCCTAGACCAGCACCAGTTATGAGTAATCAGTAGGCTCAATGCTTTCTGTCTCATCATGACAAGTATGTTATTCACAAGCAAAAGACCCTCAATGCGGATTGCAAGAATGCCCACCAGCCAGATGATATTCATGCGTAGTTCTAGAAGTATATCACAGTTTGTGAAAAGTTGAATATTCAGCACTGCAACCAGTACAACTTTGATGAGACTGGCTTTCATATTGGAGTTGGTCGTGACCAATGGATCATTACATGGGAGCCAAGCAAGCAGTCTTTACTTCGAAGTTCAACCAACCATGAGCTAATCAATGTGTGTGAAACTATTAGTGGTGATGGAGCTGTTCTTCCACCAATGATTATTGTTCCTGCCAGTATTGATAAGGAATCATGGTACACTACAACAAGAATCCCAGGGGACTATCTAGTTGGTACATCAGAAACAGGCTATAACAATGATGAATTGATGATGAAGTGACTTGTCTACTTTAATTGGTTTTCAGTCAAATGACAAAATGGCATGCATCGACTCCTATTCCTTGATGGTTTCAGCTCACACTGCACAAAGAGATTTTCGACTACTACGATGAGTATAAGATTATTGTATTCAGCCTTCCTCCCTATTCAAGCAATCTTCTTCAACCCTTGGATGTTGTCGTATTTCAGCCATATAAGCATTACCATGCTGAGACAGTGGAAGCTACTACCTGTACTGGCTGTGGAAACTTTGATAAATCTGAATTTTTGGATACAATTGATACCATCAGGTGGCAAACCTTCAAGCCCTCGACAATTTGATCAGTCTTCTATGCTACTGACCTCATTCCCTACAATCCTGATATTGTAATATCTAAATTGTGAGAAGCAGCTGTTACTTCCTCACAAATACTAAATCCTTCTTCTGAATCTTCATTTCCCTCTAGCATTCCTCTTACCATTGCTAGTCTGAAGACCCAAGGTGAACAATTACTAAATGAGGCCAAGGATCTCTCACTAGACTTTCAATAAAGACTGATACTTGTACTACAAGGTAGCCTGACTTTGGCACAGTCAGGTTCATTAGCCATGGAACATATGGAATATACTTGAGCAGCTGAGGAAGCAAGAAATATATGACAGAGAGCACAAAGCAGGAGGTAGGTCCAAAAAGGTGGTGTCTTATATGCCTCTAATACATGTCAAATGGTGAAAAAGAGGGAGGATGCAGAGGTAGAAAAAGCAGAAATACAGTTATGCAGGGCTCAGAATGCTAAAAAGAAGGCAGATCAAGCAGCACTTAAGCTTTTCCTGAATGAGATCAAAGATCAAGCAAAGGCTAGATATACTGTACAAGCATATAAAAAGAAAATATCTAAGCTAATAGTTACTGGTATTAAGCAACAAGCAAGGTTGCAGAAACTCATGTAAAATAAAAATCTTACTTTAAAATATTATATTATCCCTTGGATGGTCATGACAGCCTTGTAAAAATTCTCTCATACATTAGTGCCGAGAACCAAACCTAATGTAGCTAGTAAACATATAACTCTGAACATCAGATATCAGAGCTCACTACACTTTATATACTTTATACACTTCATCCCAAGCTTGAATGATCCTAATGAATCACAATGCCAGCCAAGCATACTCGGAAGACTTTTATGTAACAAGGAGTAGCAAAAAAAAAAGAAACCCGACCATGCATGATTGGCAGTGGCTGAGTCTAGCAGTTCAGCGACTGGTGTATTCATTACCCTACCAGAATCTTTCAAACCATTACAGTTCATAGAACATGAGCCGAGATCCCTGGTTCCTGAGGATACCATTTTAACTCCTGTTTCCTTTTTTTCTCTATTTTGGACTGATCATATTCTCTGTCAAATTGCAGATGCCACAAATGCATATGTGAACCTCAAATGACAAGGTAAATGAGGCACAGGATAGTCACATCCTACTATGGCAATGGAGTTATGGAAGTTCCTTAGCATTACTATTATGATAGGAGTAGTCCAGCTGTCTAATAGGAGTCAATATTGGAAGCACAGATTGTCATGAGCTGATTACTCACTGAGTTTTCATCGTTATTGCCAAATTAAATGCTATATATATATATCAATGCCTCTAGTTCCCTCAAGCCCTGAGAATCGTGGCCTGGGGTACCCATGGTAGAAGAAACTTGAACTATTACACAGCTATTTGAGAGCTCAGAGTCAGTTCTTTTTTTGACCTAGAACACATGTTGCCATAGATGAGATGATGGTAAAGTTTAGTGGACGCAGTAAACATACTGTATGAATTGCCAGCAAACCTATCCCCATTGGATACAAGGTTATAGCTTTGTGTTATGATGGGTAAGTAAGAAGTATACATAATAGTGATCATTAATTGGTTGTTAACTCATATACTAATATAAGAAGTAATACAGATATACTATTGACTGGATTCTGTTTTCACATATCAAGTCATTTGCAGAAGTTGTGTAAGATCCTGATCTATCTCCAACAAGTTTGGCAGTTATGCAGTTATGCTGATGTCTTGAAAGCGATCACCCAAGCCCTTCTGCTGTGCCCCAATATAGTAGCTACTATATCCTTTATCTGGATAATAGATTTGCTACTATTCCCTTATTTTCAAAGCTACAAGAGAAAGGCATTGGGGCTTCTGGCACTACCCAAGTCAATGGACCTAAATACCCTTCGTTTCTAAAGTCAAATGATGACTTGTTTGAGTGGAATACCATGGATAGTTGTATAGTTAGTACTACATCTTCAGATGAAGGTGTTTTGTGCTTTCGGTGGATGGATAACAATTTAGTATGAATACTTTCTACAGTTCATCCATGGAATGAGGTTACACTTACTACACACTGCAAGCTTCACACTATGAGCTCTAATGCAACCTTAGTACGAAGAGCTTTTGGTGAAAAGGAGCGAATGCCATGCTATATTCCAACCTTTATAGATGACTATAACTATCATATGAATGCAGTAGATCTTGCAGACTAACGCCGTACAAGTGTTATGATCTGCTATATGATCTCTCCTTTCTTATATCTCGCAACAGGCAACGAGCCTATTATTAGCTTTTCTTGATAGAGACAATACTTACTATCTCTTATTGTATTCTCTTTCCTTCGAGGATTCTCGATACTTATTATCTTACACTACGTCTTAGATATTGACCGTTGTCAATACTAAATCCTTATAGTGTTAACTAGTATCGATTCTGTTCTTCTTCTTGATTGTTGGTCTTTGTAGTAAGGAGCGTAAAGGTGTTTTATTGATAACTTATAAGATAGGAAATAACTTAGGTGGTTGCGTGAAGAACTAACTATCAGGTCCTACTGACCTCCTTATATAGTTCTTCCAGCAACCCGCTTACAAATCAAATGAGTCACAACTGTGACTCATACACTCGCGTAACATATAACCTCATGACCATACTTGGTCATGCGCAAAAGTCCCATGACCTTAAAGGGGTCATGTGCGAAACCTCATGACTCGTATAAACAAAGTCATGCCTCTTAATCCTCATGACTCATAGGCGCACCTATGAGTCAATGCTCAACATACCAATCAAATTCAAACATAAATAACTATGACTCATAACTATGAATCATGTAAAACCCTATGACTCGTATGTGAGCCATAGTGCGAAAACCATAACAAATGAAACCATTACAAACCATGCCGATTTTGTAATAACAAGCTATACAACCCACCAGTGAGCTAGACGAAATTGGCTAGCATTTTTATTCTTCTTTATTGATATCTCTATCACAAATGCATATATCCTTTTCATGATGGCCTGAAATCAGCAACTCAATCCACTTCTTGATTCTTTTCCTATATCAAGATCTACACTTCTCTCCCATCCCCTTGGCCAAACATATTCTGCAGAGCTGTTTCAACATACACTATCCCAGCAACTCTCTACTAGTACAACTACTATATTAGATCCTCTGGGCAATTCTCTATATGGTAACACCTATCGTAGTTCCACTAGCAGTAACCAAATTGCTCCTTGCCATACACAGCTAAGGTACTGAGTTATACAATATTACAAGCCCAAGTCATCCCGAATTTTCTTTACCCAGCATAGTAATATACATCAACCTTGGGCTAAGGTCGGAACTACTAGCTATCACTATACTAGTAGTCAAACTACTGCTACTACTACAGCTCATTCACAGCCTGAGAACCACATCCTTGTTCAGATTCCAGATCAGAAGCGGTGGGAGTGTGCTGTATGCCAATATGCTTTCCGGACAGGACAAAGAGAAGGATATCAAAGACCAAAACTGACTCAGTATCAGTGTGAGATATGTTTGCCACCAATTGCACTATGTGGCCCAGGAGTTAGGAGTTCTTGTTTTATTCAATGGCATGAAATGGTAAATGGGACTTGGACTGGGGGGTAAATCAAATTATATAATAGTTCTACTGCTCTAGCGTGGCAAATATTGAATTCTTTCAATCATGTGCACACGAGCCATACTATCCCTTGCCCTAGGCGCTAATGCATGAGAGAATTTTTACAAGCCGGTCGCAACCATCCAGGGGATACAAAAAAAGGCTGTCTTGAGCCACAAAGTGATGTTGAGCCACAAAGTTACGTTGAGCTGTCAGGCACTCTGAAGGAGTGCCCCCGGTTGTGAGCCAGCGAACATGCGGGGGTTGCGGCCACACGCCGCAACCTTGGCACGATTAAGTTTCAAACGAGGTGGTACGAGACTACTGGCGCAAAGCCTCGTATTGGATTTCCTGAAATTTTCCCGTTTGACTCACAGGAGGGGGAAATAAATGGATAAAGCTCGCTCTTGGAGAACCAAAGGGCTCTTTTATCATGATTTCTCCTACTACTGTACTATACGCTATATTATCACTCGGCGACCTACCGTATCATGAAGCATGCGGCTTCGCGCTCGGTTCCGATAGCTGCTGCCCGGCTCTGTTCTGTCTCCACTTTTGACCAGAATCAGCAGCTCCACCTACAGGGTAGAAATGTTACGGTATTAGTTTATCGGAGGACTGAAACTAAATAGCTGGTGCAATGGCACTCAAGCAATCAACCGATTACCTGAGCGAATTTTTCTCTGGTACAGTATGTTCTCTCGAGACACCTTCCGCTTCAATCCGACGTATTCTCCGCAAGTTGCGGGTCAACAGGCCGCCTGAAACGGTTTTACACGGATACCTTCGCACAGAACCGGTCACCTCTGACACACAGATTCTGCGTTTAGTTTGGCTTTCTGGAAACTCAGGAAAACATTTGGTACTGGTAATGGCCTTTCTGCAGCTAAGTAGCGAATAGAGGGGCTCGAGTTTGAAATCTCGCCCAGGAATAACTACAACATCCACAACTACTCGTAGTGGAATGGGGTCCATGGTCCTCGCGTGCCAGTTCGTGGGGTGAAAAGCTCGAGCTTGGAATTCAGCAACCGGCTCTCCCTACATCTAGAAGTTAGAACCCTGGTCGGTTGTGAGCGTTCTTGAGAGTTGGGATTGAAAGAGCTCGCTATCGGCCTTCTTCAAAGGGCTGATGTGGGAGGTCCTTACCTTCCCACATGGGAAAGGTGCACTTTCACTCAAAATATTCAAATAATGTTATTAATTGCACGATCTACCAACTGCTGGCGCCCTCCGGTAAAAGATATCACATGGAGGGAGGTCTCCATTAAATCGGTACGACCACTGAAGCAAAAAATGTGCTTTTTCGAGATATGGTTGGCTAGGTAGATATCTCCTCGAGTGATGAAGTTGGAGCTATCATCGTTCATCGAAAGTCCTCAGTGTCAACCAGAGTGGTTGGCGAAACTATTACTTGCTCGCTGTAACAACGAAACTGCCTATCCCACCCCGGCATTCTTAACATGGTGGCACAAAGGTCAAGTTTACCTCCCGCCGCCACTTAGCCAACGGCCGAAATCGACGCACACCTTATCGGAACCACCCCGGCGGAGAATATACTTAATCGGAAGGTGGCCCCGAATAGAATAGTTATTGAAGCTCAACTCTTATTCGTTCTCACATTTTCGCCTCGGCAATCCCCTCAGCTTACTTTACCACGGCAAGCTTCAGGAAGCGGAGGTTTCGCCCCACTCCCTTACTTCTCTTCTCATTGCTTGCCGGTGGATCAAAGTTTTTCTTTTCCCTGGTTAAGGCAAAATTATTATTTTTTTCTTCAAAAATCCTCGTGAGGTTAGGTTTGTTATAAGGGACTATTGGAGATCTTGTTATTGATTAGGATGAATATGCTTCACCGAGGGGTTGCTGGACTCCGGTATCGTGCCCGTAGGTCTGATTAAACTACATCCCGATCGCGTTAGGCTGAGCCCTGTTGAGCGGACCAATTTATGTAGTGGGTCATTAGGTCTCCTACCAAGACCGGCAACTGATCATGTGGGAGCGGGCACAAAATGAGCTTGTAGGTATTTTGGGAGTGCTATTTAGAATGAAGGCTAACTGTTCTCAGAAGGACGTTGAGATGCAACATCAGGTAAACGGATCATAAGCAAGAAAGTTTGAGACTACAGTGCCTTGCTTTCACGGGTTGGCCAACGAAAATTTCGGGATACTAATTATGATAAAAATAACAAGAGAAAAGAAGCGAGATCGAAATCAGAAACAAAGCAGAAATTTCCGAACGTGAAAATCTTTGCGAATTCTGGGTTTGCATAAATTCGCGAAGGGGGTAAGTCAGGGTTACCGGCAATCATGGTGAGATAATAGGAGGAGGAGTAGGCTGTTCGCTCGAACTGATACGATGAAGGGAGGGGGAAAAATGATCAGTTGTGCGAGCGAGAGAGAGGGATGGTGCCTGGCTGTATGTAACAGCTTACAGTGGAACCAATACTGATTTTGATACAATGTTGTACGAAAGCAGTAGAGGATCAGCATATCTCCCAATGGCCCCGCCAATATACTGGGTCCGGAACCACCCCCAAAATGGTATGGGAAGCACACTGTCTCTTATCAGCAACACACCATACATGGGTTTGCAGGGGCGACTCTCTGAAGAAGGTGTGCAGATAGGTCCTACACACTGCAAAGAGCTCCACTTTACATAAAAGGCCATGCGCACCCAACCTCTGCCAACTTCCCTCCCCTTCCTTGCTTCCCCCAGGACCCAAGCAGCTGTTGTGGCCAAGCACTCAACCACAACAGAAACCTCGCAGCCAATATGTCTGAACTTCCCACAGAGAAGACGGCCCCAAGGGCCGATATGTTCGGCAATGAGGAGAGCGTGTATGCACTATCCCTTTCTGAAACCCTTTATTCTCCTCACAGGGTGCTAACATGGCTATAACAATAGGGGAGCAGCAGCCGCCGAAGATGGAAACTCCATGACCAAGGCTGCATGGGGCGAAGACGGTGATGAGCCGACGGAGGAGGAATTGGCTACTTTGCGCCATATCGGTGATAAAATCCCATACAGCGCGTGGTTGGTCGCAGTCGTTGAATTGGCTGAACGATTCACCTATTACGGTTTGACCGGGCCGTTCCAAAACTACATGCAAAACAAGCGGAATGATCCGCGTCTTCCTGGTGCGCTGGGCCTTGGGCAGTCCGCAGCTACTGGATTACAGTACTTTTTCCAATTTTGTAAGTTTTATGCGTCGAAGGGTTAATATTCAGTTAGACGGACAGTTTACTGATTGAGAAATAATAGGGTGTTACGTTACACCATTATTGGGTGCTATTGTTGCGGATGCTTGGCTCGGTCGTTACAACGCAATTGTGCTCTTCGCCCTCATTTACATCTGTGGTCTTCTCGTCCTGTTCGTCACTTCTCTACCGTCATCACTCGATAACGGCGCTGGTCTCGGCGGTCTGATCGGATGTATGATCATCATCGGTCTCGGAACGGGTGGTATCAAGTCCAACGTCTCACCCTTGATCGCCGAACAGTACACCCGCGTCAAGCCCGCCCTCAAAGTCCTCCCCAGCGGCGAGCGTGTGATTATCGACCCCAATGTCACCATCCAGAGTTTGTACAACATCTTCTACTGGTGTATCAACATTGGGTCTCTCTCCTCGATTGCCACCGTGTGGATGGAACTCAAGATCGACTTCTGGGCAGCATACCTCCTCCCCTTCTGCTTCTTC